GAGAAAATATAAAATAAATAAAACATTTATTCCTAAATTTATTTAACATGAAGTCTACTGTGTTCATTAGAGATGCAGAACAAGGTTTAAGCATACTTTAAAATGCACACATCAATGATTTTAAGGCAGGAACTCTTAAAACTCTTAAAATGATTAACCCTAGGAACATAATTTTTCTATACTAAACAATGTTATCAATATATTGCTGTGTGCTTCTGTTACATCAAGATTTCTGGATATCAGAATGTACTTTTCATTACTGAGGTAGGTATAGCTTTAAGTGTCTCCTGAATTGGCAATCATCACACAAAAAAGTGTTTTTTCTTTTTTTATGAGAGAGAGAGAGGAAGAGAGAGAATGGGAGGAACAGGTGAAGGCATAGAGGAAAGAGAGATAGAGGGATAATTTGACCGGGTCTTGCCATGTTATAATCTTCCTGTCTGAGCCTCTCGGCTAGGACTATAGACCATGTGACTCCACATCTGGCCTGTTTAGGTTGGGCCAGGTCCTGAACAAGGACCTTCCACGTGGGCTCAGCCACTAGGCAGTGTCTTCCCACTGTGTCACAGTGGCTGGACTACAAAAATGTGTTTTGTTATTATTACTTTTTATTTAGTTTTTGCTGTAGGGTACCGTGTGTTTCCCAGAGAGAAACAGAGACAGAGAGAGAGAGAGACAGAAATCATCCCCCAGGGGGATGGCCACATCACCATCCCTTCTCTTCCATTTTCCTCTCAGGATTTTGGGCATGCGCGCACATGTGCCCTGTGTGTTTCAAGCTGCTGGCCTGGGACACAAACTGCACCGTCAGTCGTGTGGGATCTAGCCACCTCAACCACCGAGCCAACGACTGGCCCACAAAAATGTTTTTCATAAAAATGTTAATTTTGAGATTCTATAATCTCTTTTTGTAGCAAATAAACACTAATATGAAACACTTTATTTCTTCTCCAAATAATGTTAGTAATGTAAGGTTACAGACTTGAGAGAAATTATAAAATTTACCTGACTGTATGCTCTATAATTTTACAAAGCTTTAATTACAAAGCACAACTTCAGGGGGCTGACTAGTGGCACAGTGTTAAAACTCAATCGTCTGCAAGGCCGACCTAAATGGAAAGGTTCCTCATTTATGTCCAGAGCCATTCTGAGTATGTTGGACATGTGCATACCCATGATTTGGGGCTAGTTGAAGCTAGGGGGTGGAAAAAGGCATCAAAACCTGTTTGGTGGGACCAGCAGTTAGCGTAATGGCCATGTTGCTGGACTCCCATGTAGTTGACCGCGGTTCGAGTCCCAGACTTGGTGGCTTAAAACTCACGCCAGGCGCGTGTGCATGCGTGCCCAAGATCCCAAGAGGAGAATGGAGGAGAAGGGACTGTGGTGTGGCCATCCCCCCTAGGGGGTGATTTCTCGCTTTTTGTCTTGCTCTCTCTGTCCAGTGAGTGCACACACGCCCTATGCAAAAACAAAAACCTCTCTCTCTCTCAAAAAAAAAATATAAATAATTAAATAAAAAAGAACCTGTTTGGGATGCTGTTTCTCTATTTCTCCCTCTCTTTCTTGCTCATAGAAGAAATAAAGAAACTTAAAAAAAAAAGAAAGAAAAAGAAAACACGACTTCAGGCAGCACCTTAAGAAACCTGTGTGCCTCTGTAATTTTGGACTCTGCTCTGAGAGGGCAAGGTTGTTCATTCTAGGATTCTAAGTTACAAATACATACAAAATGTATCTGATGTCTAAAATAGGGAGAACAAGAAAAGTTCCAAGTTAATATGCATAAATAAAAAAACACAATGGTGTGGCTTAACTTTTCTGTGTCAGACTATGACTGGGAGAATTTTTTTACCTTCTTTAAATCCCAAGATCTTAACAATCTTTAGATTTGACTATGTACTTTTTGGATGAGAAACTAGAAGTTAAGAATATCTGTATTTATTATGCAATTAGAAGAAGGAAATGCTTCTCAGAAATAAGCCCTAGTTCAAAGGATAACCTGTAAAAGTAGAATGTGGAGAAAACTGTGAAACACAGAAGGATTTTATTGTATTAAAAAATAAAATTTGGCCTGGTGCCTTGCTTTCTCACTTTCTCTGTCTCTCTCTGGTCAAATTAAAATAAATGAATAAATAATTAATTATAATTTTTTTTAAAAACAGAGTTTAAAAAAATTTTAGTGCCATTTACATTTCGTAAGGAAGTATGTAGGTGACTGTGTTATTTGAGAGATTCTTCCTGAATTAGGTATTTCAAATGTTTTGAATAATGAGGTGATTGTGATTTACGTTTTGGTCCAAAAAAACTGGATCCCACAAACATAAACTGCCAGGAGGCAGGCAGCACAAGTCAGACAACGCACAGAGAGAGCATTTAACATTTTCTTTCCAGGTAGACTAAAAAATGATAGTTCTATAATATTTATCACTACAATGATGAAAAACCAGCTTTCAAAGTCTTTTGCTCTTTTTGTTTGTTTTGTGATGGGGTGCACATGCTCACCCCAGAGAGAAAGACAGTGAGAGGGAAAGTGAGAAATTATGTAAGACAGCTTGAGAAGGACCAACAAAGAAACAAAAAAGATGTATTCAATGCTGCACTCCTAGGAAATTAAAGAAATTCATACTAAATTACTGTAGTGACTTCTGCAAAGTTTTCTTCATGGAATCTTCATCTACTATCCTATTTCCTGGGAGGTAATTACATTAAGATTAAAGAGCAATGGGCCAGCAGTTGGCACGGTGGTTAAGGGTACTGGACTCCCGCATGGCTGACCACAGTTTGAGTCCCAGACCTGGCAGTTTGCTTTCTCACTGCACCCCCCGACCTCTCCATCTCTATCTGGTCAAATTAAAATAAAAAAGTAAATAAAGTTAAATAAAATAATTCTCTGGGGAGAAGAAAAGGGGGCCAGCAGATGGTGTGGTGGTTGAGGGTACTGGACTCCCATATAGCTGACCACGGTTCTAGTGCCAGACCTGACAGCTTGCTTTCTCACTTTCCCTCTCTCTTCCTCACTCTGTCCTTCTCTGGTCAAATTAAAATAAATAAATAAAAAGTTAAATAAAATAATTATTAAAAAAAAAAGATTAAAGAGCCATAATATAAAATCACACTATAACAAATTGTGTGTTCACTCCAGTGAAATGTGCAGTAGCCAATATTACCCTGGGGACAGTGACTTGGGCACTTGTGACCTCATAGCCACCTCAGGTCTAACCTATACAGCAAAAAGATGTGGGAAACAAGGGGCCATTGAGTTTGACAACAGGAATAAACACAAGCCAAACTTACCATTTTGTTAGGGTTAACATTTGATATTCTAGGAAATGCTACAACTAGAGTAACATCTGCTGCTGTTAAAAATCACAAAAATCACTGAAGCAGGTGAACAGTGTTAGCAAGTTTTTTTTTTTTTTTTTTGAGGTTTTTGCTATAGGGTGCGTGCGCTCACCAGACAGAGAGAGACAGAGAGACAGAAAGTGAGAAATCACCCCCCCGGGGGGATGGCCACGCCGCAATCCCTTCTTCTCCATTCTCCTCTCGGGATCTTGGGCATGCATGCACATGCGCCCGGCGTGAGTTTAAGCCACTGGGTCTGGGACGCGAACTGCGGTCGACTACGTGGGAGTCCAGCGACATAGCCATTACGCTAACTGCTGGTCCCAGTGTTAGCAAGTTTTAATTAGGCTAAGCATAATTTCAGGAATCATGGCCTTGATTTTACTAAGTCTAGAGTGAAAAATGAGCTGACATATTTTCATACCAATAAAATATGAAAAAAAAGATTAAACTATATTTTATTTATTTATTTATTTGGAGAGGTTTTTGCTATAGGGCGCATGCACTCGCCAGACAAAGAGAGAGAGACAGAAAGTGAAAAATCACCCCCCAGGGGAGATGGCCACGCCGCAATCCCTTCTCCTCCATTCTCCTCTCGGGATCTTGGGCACGCACGCACACGTGCCTGGCGTGAGTTTAAGCCACCGGGTCTGGGACTTGAACCACGGTCGACTACGTAGGAGTCCAGCGACATAGCCATTATGCCAACTGCTGGTCCCAATTTTGGCAAATTATTAACAGTGATTAAAAAACTCTGACTTAGATGTGAATTATCAAGATATCAAAAATTATTTTGATTGCCTCAAGTATTTTGAGGAATGATGCAGTTATTGGTGTAAATTTATTTGTGATTACAATATAACATAATGTAACATAAGTATTTCTAATGTTAATAACCTTTGAGATTATTTTGCTTAACCAAATACATCTTTTCAAGATGAGATGTACCAAATGTAATTTGTCACTAATGTAATTTCCTACTGTGTTGAATTGGAAGTTTCCCAGGTGACACTATGTTTCTCAGCTAATATTAACTCTAGGTCCAGTTCTGATGCTCTATTCTCAAGTGTGATTATATTGAATCAATTTGCTAGATCCTCTAATAATAGGTGATAAGGCAGTGCAAAATCCTCTGAAAGAAGCAATCTTATCAACGTCGAACTAGTTATTTATTCTAAAGGTGCTGCTGAACATGAGGTGTACTGTTTAATCAACAGTTAATTACTAGAGTTTAACTGTGTTAATAAAAACAAATACTTCAGGGACCAGAAGGTGGAGTGGCGGTTAAAGGTGCTGGATTCCCACATGGCCAACTGCTGTTTGAGTCCCAGACCTGGCGACTTGCTTTCTCGCTTTCCCTTTCTCTCTCTGTCTCCATCTGGTTAAATTTAAAAATAATGACAATAACAAATGGAAATGAATAAATAAATAATTAAAAACAAAACAAAACAAAAACCAAATACTTAACCGAGAAAAATACTTAAATAACTCAATGTTAGTTTCTTCATTTTTACTCTCACCATATAAAATAATACTATAGTGAAAACCTAAAACAGAACTTGTTCAATCATAAATACCATATACAAAATGAGTAACTCTTATTTGAAATCCTTGGGACCAGAGTATTTCAGATTTTTAAAATATTTGCGCATGCATAGGAGATATCTTGGAGATGAGACCCAAAGTTAAACCAGATATGCATTTGTATTTTATATACACTTTATACACATAGCCTAAGAGTATTTTATACAATATTTTTGTGGGGACCAGCAAATGACGTAATGATTACATAACTGGACTCCCTCATAGTCAATCATGGTTCGAGTCCTGGACCCAGTGGCTTAAAACTCACACTGAGTAGGTGTGTGTGTGTGTGTGTGTATGTGTGTGCTCAAAATTCTGAGAGGAGAATGGATGAAAAGGGATTGTGACGTGGCCTCCTGGGGGTGTGTGTGTGATTTCTCCCTGTCTCTCTCTCTCTGGTGAACCCGATAGCGAAAGTCTCTATTTCAAAAAACAAACAAACAAACAATTTTTGCATTACAGTGTTTGCCTATGACCTGCCACATGAGGTCAGTTGTGGAATGTTCCACGTGTGGCATCATGTTGGTACTCAAAAGGTTACGGACGCTGGAACATTTCACGTTTTGAATTTTTGGACTGGGGCTGCACACCCTATATTAGAAAAAAATATCTATTAGCAAGATTACTATCTCAGTTTATGTAAGTGAATTACATTAAAAGCTATATAGAAAAGTAAGCTATGGGGACCAGCAGGTGGTGTGGTGGTTAAGGTGCTGGACATTCGCGCATGGCTGACCATGGTTCAAGTCCTGGACCTGGTGGCTTGCTTTCCCTCCCTCCATCCCTCTCTCTCTCTCTCTGGTCAAATTAAATTAAATGAATGAATAAATAAAATAAAATTATTCTTAAAAAGAAGTAGGCTGTTATTTGGCAAACTCATACAAATTTGGATATCTGCTCCTTAATAACATAGTTACTTGTACTTAAAGGCTTTCAGTTGTTTAGTAAATCTATAGCTAGGGCCCAGGTATAGGTTCTGAAGCCTTAATTATTAGGCATTCTTTATCACTGGGGTTATATATTTTTCTTGCTCTCATTGCATTTTCTTTCATCTGGAGATGGTATATTGCTATCCTTTAAGGGAGAAGATTACCAGTATTGATGGCCTTTAGTTAGTCTGTGACTTTTTTTTAAAGAGAGAGATTTTTGGTAGAGGGCGTGAGTGCTTGCCAGAGAAAGAGAGACAGAAAGTAAGAAATCACCCCCCAGAGTGGATGGCCACACCTCAATCCCTTCTTCTTTCTCCTCTCTGGATCATGGGCATGCTTGCACACACACCCAGCGTGAGTTTGAAGCCACCAAGTCTGGGACTAATCACAGATGACTACATGGGAGTCCGGCAATGTAACCATTACGCCATCTGCTGGTCCCAGTCTGACTTTTTAAATGCAAGGTGGAACTTAGCAGAACAAACCAGTCTCCAGATATTATCTAGTTTAGTCACTGATTCATTGTAATATGAGTCACTTTTTAAAAAGTATGCATAAATGGGTAAGTAAAAGGTAAGAAATATTGTAATATGCTTGGTTACAGGTGATTTCCAATCATGAAATACTATATCTTTTTCTCAAAAATTTTTAAGGAGAAAAAATAAAACTAGACAAATCAGAAAAACACATTTTGAGTCTTAGTTTTCATTTCTATTGTATGCATAGTTAGAAACTAATGTATTTTTAATTGAATATGTAAAGTAATAAAGACGTGTTACAGATTATGATTTTTAAAGGCTCTTATTAGAATATTGATAAAGGGATAAAATGCCAATAATGTATTAGCTCAAAGAAATTATGCTATTATAATGGCAATAAAAGCTCACACTTACTGTAGCTAAGTCAAAATAATGAAGCAAGGAAAAGTTAGAAAACTTGCCCCAAATCACATAGCTAATTAGGCCTTAAACTCAGTCATTTGGACTACAGCACTCACATTCTTAACGTAAGGTAACATAACACAATTTAACCCAATAAAATACATTAATCGTAAAGCTATAATAATTAAATGGCAAAGATGTAAAGATTGAAAAACAATTTTTAAAATGAATGCTGACACACACACAAAATTGCTGTGATAATTTGATTTCATTTGAGAGTTAAGAACTGCAAGAATCCAGCTTCCTATCTAAAGTTTCTTAATTTAAAATTTTAAATTTAGCAATGTTAAATAAATTTAAAGTCAATTTTCAAACACTTAGTTTATGAACAGGAATATTAATTTATAATTTCCAAGGGTAATTTGCAAAAAGAAACTATAACCTGCTCAGTGGAGCTTAATATTATAATGATAATGGACAAATACTATTTAAAAAATTATTTCCATGCTGAATATAATTAGAAGATATTTTAAATGATCTTCAAAGCCAGACTGCTGAAATCTATTTCAGCTATAATACATCCTGTAGACCAGGCCCATCAAAGTTGCTGAATACCGTGAGAAGAAATAAGTATTACATGATATATAAAAACTGTCTCAATTCAATTTGCACATCTTTCTGGCGCACCTTCTATATGACAACATTCTAAGGTATTCACAGTAGCGGTTACAAAGTAAAAGGCACATGCAAATCTGACAGAGGAACTACTTAGTAGATAAGGAGGGCTTTTTAAATGCTTATTGTTACTATTAAAAATTAAAAATAAAAATAAGTGGCCTAACCAATATTTCTAGGAATTGGGAAAGCAGGTTGAAATATAGCACAGAAAGACTCAAGTCCACTCTACATTCATACAGTACCTGGGAGCTGAATCTGTGAACATCGTCAGAGGCACTGACTAGATCAATGGAAGACATGGAGGAAGAGCGACTATAGGGCTACCAGAGACAGACAAAGAAAAAACCAAGTAATCAGAACAAAGGCACAACAGAGCATTCAGTACCAACTTCCAAACACAAGATAAAGAAAGAGAAAACAAAGCACCATATGAAACAAGCACAGCAGCAAGTGCAAGTGCAAGTGCTGACTTCATGCACCTATTATGCATTCTATCCCAAAGCAATTCCAAAAAGAATGCAGTGCTTCGAATAATACAAAATAGTACCACTTAACCCCAAAGAATAAAGAGATTGAATATATCTGGCTACACTTCTGGGTAACTATTTTAGATTAGCCATTCCTTATCCATCCATCCCTCCCTCCTTCCCACCCCAAAAATAAAAGTTCAGAGAAAGATTTTTGTTTTGGAGGATGTAATACAAACATACAATACAAAAAAAATAAATAAAAACTTAAATTCATGAAAATTGGAGAAAACTTGTACTACAAGATAGTTCCAACAACAGTGAAGAACACTATAAGGTATACTTTCTGTAAATTCTGATATTAGCTTACCTTTTGGACAAATCTATGAGTCCCCACAGATGAAAAGGCATCTCCAGATGGCAAGGATGTAGGCCAATGTAACCTGACCTTTTCACTCTGTGACTACAAAACATAATATGAAGATGGGGATGTTTAAAACTGTATTTTTCATCTTAAGGATGGCTAATGTAACTTGGAATTATCAACATTAATGAAAAAAAATCCAAGGCCCAGAGAGGTTAAGTGATAAATTCATGGTTATAAAACTAGTAACGAAGAGTAAGACAGGTGTCTTGACTTCATAGCTTACTACTCTTCCCAAATGGCACATTTAGATTGAAAATGGTAAAGGAAAATAAACAAAAAAATGATGCTACTACAGGCAGTAATTTAGACTTCCAAAAGTAGAGCCCATTAAGTAACTGGAAGTTCCCACTTTTATTGAGTGCTATATAACAACTTTCAGGAGTAAAAAATGAACAGTAGCTTTAAAAATTAATATAATATAAACATTTTATCACTGATTTACAAAAAAAAAATAAATAAATAAAAGAAAAATAAATATGTCTACCTTTGGCTAGACAGACCAATGAATATGCATAATGGGCTGTGACTGCCTTAGCAATGACGGAATGCACAAGGCAACTTTCCTACGCAAATTCATTTAGAATACAGAACTGATACACATATGACTATCTGCAAGATATTTCATAGCCACAGCTCACTCAAAACCTTGCCAAAAACCAGGTTACCCTTCCATCATAAGCAACATAGCTTAAAGGAAAGGGAGAAAATTACTAAAACTAATCCTTATGTGCCACCTAGTGGTAAAGTGTGGTAACTACACTGCTGTAGAATTAAAGGTAAAGGGTCAAATTAATCTAGAAACTAAAATAAATAATTTTGAAAATGTCTTTCTTCAATTTTCACAAAAGGAGCTATGTATAATTTCATGCTCAATGACAACAACAAAACACTGAATGAAGTAAAAATTAGGAAGAACCTGAAGATGAAGGTTATAATGATAATGAATTAGTAACAAAAACTAAACAAAACTAATGTGGAGAAAAATGATCTTAAATTTTTGTTCATCTTCCTTTTATATTTACATGATACTTGGTGAGTTAAAAAGTCAAAGGGTATTTTTACTCAGACTAAATATATGCTTGATGTTAACTGAGTTGTTAAAGTTGGATACTTCAAGGAAATCAGAACATTTCCATTTAAATTTATGGTAATTATGCATATTTAAAAAAAGATGTATAGGTCTTCTTTTTATTGTTTGGAAACTGACTACAAAGAAGCTGATTTAAGAAGATTCTTCTACATTTGTGATTCAAAGTAAACAAGTTTCTAGGTTATTACACTGACAATTTTCAAAATCTATTTGTATGAAACAACATACATTAAGACATGTCTTAAGGAGTATTGAAATGAACTTCAGCTTAAAAGTTTAAATAATAGACATACCTGTTCTTCTATTTTATCTTGCCTGTCAAGAGCAGCTTCAACAGCATCAAAGAACTCCTCTTCATTTATCAGACTGTTAGGGCCTTCCTATACAAACACACAGGAAAAAAAAAAGCATTTGATTTAAGTAAATAGAAAACACCGATACTTCGAGTATGAACTCTAGGGGAAAGTTGAAAATTCACTTAATAAACATTTAGTGAGCACATATTTATGAACAGTCAGTATAGTAGATAATATTATCACAAAGACAAGTAACATGTTCTGTGCAAAATTATATGACTTAAATGAACTCAGTATTCATATATTTAACTCAGTACTCTTGTATTTATTTGACCAATACTACATTAAGATAGTGGTCAAGAGTAGGAAATTTGTGAGCTATGGACCATAGGTCAAATCTAGTCTACTGCCTAGTTTTGTATGGCCTGTGAAGTAAGAATTTAATTTTTAAATCATTGAAAAAAATGAAATATTTTACTATATATAGGAATTATGTGAAATCAAAATTTTGGTGTCCATAAATAAAGTTTTATTGGAACACAATCATACTCATTCATCAATGGATTGTTTATAGCTGCCTTTGTGCGATGGTGGCAGAATTGAGTATTGGGGACAGAGACATAAAATTACAGAAAGGAAAATATAGTTTCAGAAAGCTTATAGCTTTATAGCAAAGATAAAAAATTTGGAAGGGAGGGTTCTTCCTAAGCAAGAATAATTGTTACACGAAAAAAGAAAAGTTGAGCTGATGCTTAAAAGCCTCTGGTTAAATGGCAGAATAGTGGCCATCAGCAACCAATTTCCTGGAGAACTTGTTACAATGAAAATCCCCAGGCACTGATACATGAAAATTATTTTCAGTAGGTTGTGTGGGGCCCAGGAATATAGATGTTTAATAAATCCCCCAAATGATTCTCAAAGTGGAACCGCAGCATATTAGAAGATAGAAGTATAAAGAAAAGTAAAATGGAAACAAGGTATGTTCCTGCTGTGACAAACCAAGTAAGTAGACTCTAAGTGGAACAACAGTTTGGTATTATGGTAAAAGTGGAGACTGAAAAGGTAGGCTTGGGTTTGGGATTCCCTATATTCCATATATTGGGTCGTTGGGAAAATCATGATGCATTTTTGCACAGAAAAACATGCCATGACTTTCCCTACAACCTAATATATAAAATAAGACACATGAACAATTACTGGAAACTTCCCAGTTAGACTAACAACCCCATGTCATCATTAGCCCATAAAAGCTATCTAGCAACATCGCCCCATTCCCACCTTAACCACCATGCCACCTCTGGCCTCTTTCTAAATCCTTTTTAATAAAAATAAAAATAAAATTGTATTCCAATTATTTAGTTCTCCCATAGATTTGCCACACTAGAAGGGTTGGAGGAGCCATGCTCTTGTCATCTGGTATAGGCATGAGAATCTTGATTTAATACAATCTGGTCCTACCCACTTCGAAACATTCCCTACTTTTTATTCAAATACAATACACACACAAAACTGTAAATCTCAGTGAATTATCATAAATTTTATCAGTGATATAACCAGCTCATGATTGGATGTGATGGGACATGAAAGTCATGAAAAAGAACAGTAACAACACTCCAGAGGCCTCCCTTTATAAAGTCCAAACACTTCAATAACACTTAAGGGAGGGCAGTATAACTTGGCCTCTGTTGATCAGAGAAAACAAAAAAACCCCAAATATACTTTAAGTTCTAACATGTTTTCTAATGATTAAAAAAACCGCTATTGATCACAACCATATCTATACTTTAAAAAATACTAACATACACTAATGTATAATCACTTCAGTGCATATGGGCCCTTAATGCAACCACATCAGAATCTCTGGAGTACTAATTGGGAACTGCAGCATTAAAGATTCTACTAGGTTGCCAGGAAAGTCATTACATGCTCTTCTATGTAAAAATGCATCATGACTTTCCTGATGATCCAATACTTTGCTGGTGGCATAGTGGCTAAGGCAGCTGGATTTCACATGGCAGTATGAGTCCTGGACCTGGTATTGAAAAAAACACAATGGGCACATGTGTGAGTATGCCAAAGTCCTGAAAGGAGAAATGGAGGCGAAAGGACTGTTTTGAGGCCATTCTCCATGGGCTGTGCTCTCTATTTCTCTCTCTCTAGCAAGCACATGCACCCTCTAGCAAAAACAGGGGAGGAAAAACTACTTTGCCAAGTGAAATGGCTTTTCCTTTTATGGCAAATCTGTGGGAAAACTAAATAACTGGAATACAATTTTATTTTTATTAAAAAGGATTTAGAAAGAGGCCAGTAGGTGGCATGGTGGTTAAAGGGCTGGACTCAAACACAGTCAACTACGGTTTGAGTCCCAGACCAGGTGGCTCAAAAATCATGCCTGGGCTGGGAACCAGCAGTTAGCGTAATGGCTATGTCACTGGACTCCCATGTAGTCGACCGTGGTTCGCGTCCCAGACCCGGTGGCTTAAAACTCACGCTGGGAGCGTGTGCGTGCATGCCCCAGATCCCAAGACAAGAGGGGAGAAGGGATTGCGGCGTGACCATCCCCCCTGGGGGATGATTTCTCGCTTTTTGTCTCTATGTCTCTCTCTGTCTGTCTGGCGAGTGCACGCGCCCTATAGCGAAAATCTCTCCAAAAAAAAAATCATGCCTGGGCACTAGTGTGTGCATGTCCAAAATCTCAAGAAGAGAATGGAGGATAAGGGACTGTGATGTGGTCATCCCTCCTAGGGGGGTGATGTCTCATTTTCTTTCTGTCCCCGCCTCTGTCTCTCCAGCAGCATATGTGCTCTATGGTAAAAACCTTAAAAGAAAGAAAAAGAAAAAGAAAAAAAAGGACTTAGAAAAATAAAATAAAAAAAAAACTTTTAACTTATGCTTGCAACGGAAGGAACTTATTACTAAATCTATAAGATACTCCACAATCTTTATCTTACTTCCTCCCTAAGAAGCATTTCTTACGTTAACTACAGAGTTCTCTATCCTTAGATTCCCAACTTCCCCCCCCTCCCTAAGTACTCTAAAGGGTTCCTTTGCAGGCTCCTCCTTCTCTGGTGTTCAGAAGGGAACATTTCCTCTACCTACAGTACTCTTACTAATTTCCAAGGCTTTAGTCATCATTTGATGACTCCTGAACTCATACCCAGATCATCTCTCTTCCAAGTCTTACAAGATCTTTGTATCTAATAAAATGAAGACTTTCTCATGGGAAGGCCTCAACTTAGTTGCAACATGTTGAAAAACTGCTCTTTCAAAGCAAACTGCAGAAACCTGAGCCTAATCTTGGATTCCTCCCTTTTCCCTCATTCAGTCACCATAACTTCTACTTTCCACATATCTGCTATGTCTTTCTATTCCTCCTGCTTCTACCTTAGACCATCTCTAATTCTCATCTATAATACTGGGAGAAGTCTCCAAGTCGTAGTCACAACTGTCACCTTCAACTGATTCTTCTGACTACAGGATGCAAGAATGATTTTCTTGAACTATAAATATGAAAACTTCACTTTCTTGCTTAAACTCCATTGCCTCAGGATCTGACCTGACTCTTGTTGACCTTTCTAGACAGTCTCTTACTGCTCACTGCTCTCAATCTATAGAGGTTCCGCCCACCACAGAGAAGTCTTGTCAGTCTTCTTGAAGTAAAATGCTCTCTCTTTTTTTAAAAAATGAGTTTCACTATAGGACATGTGCACTTGCCAGAGAGAGAAGGAAAGTGAGGAACCACTCCCTAGGGAGGATGACCACACTGCAATCCCTTTCTTCCTTTCTCTTCTCAGGGTTTTAGGCAGGCATGCATTTGTGCCTGGCATTATTTTCCTTATTTAATTTTATTATTATTTTAAAAAAAATTTGCCATATGGCATGTGCACTCCCCAGAGAGAAAGACAGACAGAGACAGAGGGAGAAAACAAAAAAGTGAGAAAGTGAGCTGCCAGGAAGACAGAAAGAGAGAGAGAAAGTGAAAAAGGGAGCCACCAGGTCTGGGACTTACCAGTCAGCTATGTGTGAATCCAGTGCCTTAACTACCATGCCACCTGCTGACCCTGCCGGACTTTTTTTTTTCCCAGTCACGGGTCAAGAACCACAGAGTCTGTCATGCGAGATCCAGCATCTTTTTGTTTTGTTTATTTATTTATATATATGTTTTTTTTCAAGAGAGATTTTTGCTATAGGGCACATGTATTCGCCAGACAGAGACAGAAAGTGAGAAATCATCCCCTGGGGCAATGGCTACACCACAATCCCTTCTCCTCCATTCTTCTCTCAGGATCTTAGGCATGCACGCATATGTGCCCAGTGAGAGTTTTAAGCCACTGGTTCCAGGAACCATGGTTGACTAGGCGGGAGTCCAGTGACGTAACAATTACACCATCTGCTGGTCTCAGGGATCCAGCATCTTAATCACCACACCACATGCTGGCCCCCAAATGCTTTTTTGAATCTGGTTTCGAAATGTCTTCTTCTCAGCACCTAGAGCATAAACTCTTTCTAGGTATTCATCTGGCTAATGTCTATTCAATTTATTCTTAAGGTTTCAGCTAAAAGTTATTTCCTTTGGGAAGCCATCCCTCTCAGCACCTTTCCTGAGTTACAAGTGCTTTGTTATGGCTGGTTCCGTGGCCTGTTTAAGGTAGCTGGCTACCTTAACCAATTGCATGTGGTGGACTGCATAGCTGGAGTCCTAACCTTAGTGGCTTGAAAGACATGCCAGGCATGTGTCCCAAATCCCAAAAGAGTATAGAAATGGAAAAGAAATTGCAATGTGAACATGCCCTACTTGCGGGGGGTGGGGGGTAGTGTACCCTCCCCCTCTTCCTCTTTTTCTCTCTCTGGCAGTACACATGCCCTCTGGTAAATTAAAAAACAAAGTGCTTTGTAACACACACATTATTATTGTCTATTACCTAGTCTATGTTCTCATTATACACTCAGGTAGGGGCCTTCAGGCAGGATCTTTGTCTGCCTAATTCCTTGTTCATCCTTCAAATCTAATACAATGTCATGCATTATATTGATAGTTAAGTCTTAAGAAAATGGATTTACTGTTATAAAGTAATTTCTGAAACTACAGATGACAGAAACATTTTAATCAGAACACCATGGGACATCATGGTAGTTAAAGTGCTGACACCCACATGATCAATGGTGGTTCAAGTCCCTGACCTGGAGGCTTGAAAAATCACACTGTTCTGTGTGTGTGTGTGTGTGTGTGTGTGTATGTATGTGTGTGTGTTATGCACCCAAAATCTTAGAGGAGAAGGGATTGTGGCATGGCTATACCCTGGGGAGCTATTCCCTCTCACTGTCTCTTCCGGTCTCTCTCCTGCAAAGTGCACATGCCTTATGGCAAAAACCTAAAACAAAAACAAAAACAAAATAATTAGAACACCATGAACGTCTGGTAATAACCAAAATATTGTCATAGCTTGAATTGGCTTCTAGAATACAAAGTGTACTACTGACACAAAAAGAGAGAGATGGTTCAAAACTCCAAAAGAAAGACAAGAAAGTATAAAAACTGGCCTTGGTTTGTTTAAAAATTGTGTATTTAATTAGAAATTACATTTCATAAGGAAATTAGTAAGGAAAAAAAATTAAAGTGCCCTTACTTATTTAAGAGAGAAAGAGGAAAGAACATTTTGAATAGGTAGAAAAAGAATGTTTATTACACAAATGCCAGTGACATAAAATATAGTTTCCTTCATTATGGCATAATTTAAAAATGTATTAATATATTTAGAAAAGACAAATTAAAAAAATATATATACATACATACATATATATATGTGTGTGTGTGTGTGCGTGTATATATATATATATATACACTTTTATAAAGCAAAATAATTGATAACATTTTTAGAAACTACAAATTAAAAAAATTTTAAAAAACAAAAGAAAAAAATTTAAAAAAATGAAAGGCAAATTCTACACATCTTGAAACTAAATAGAAAAAAAAATCTTATAAGAAAACAGTCAGGGGCCAGTTTGTGGCATGGTGGTTAAGGCAACAGACTCCCACATGGCTGATCATGGTTTGAGTTCCAGACCTGGCGGCCTGCTTCCTCAATTTCCCTTTCTCTCTCTGTGTCTCTCTCGGTTCAATAAAAATAATAATGACAATTATGTTGAATAAAATTAAATAACTTTTTTTAAAAAGAAAAAAACAGTCAAAGGACACGGACAAGTGAGTCATTAAAGAAACATAAATGACCAGTAAATGCATTGGCATTGAAACTATTAAGCACATATACCTAGCACAGGCCCCTTCTCCCTTCCACCCTTGTCCTCTCCCCTGAAAAAAAGAGCCTATGTTAACAGAAGCAAAGAATAACAAGTATATAATTATATATTTGCTGGTAAGTAGCAAACTGTGTCTTATATTGTTATGTTAAAAACATGGGCTTTTAAAGCTTATTTACATTTTCTACAATCTTTCCATAATAAGCATATTATTTATAGTATGAAAAAATAAGGTAATTAAAAAAGTTGATAATTCTTCCAATAAATAAACCTCAAACAGCAAAACAATCTGCTTCATTTCAGAATAAAAATTACCATATTATTTTAGTAATCTAGATTTTTAAAACTCCAGGGTAGCTAATATATGTATTTTAATACATTTCGAAAGGAATAGACAACTTCATAATTTTAAAATATTGTAATTTGGGACCAGAAGATGGCATAATGGCTATATCACTGGACTCCCATGTAGTCGACCACAGTTCAAGTCCCAGACCCGGTGGCTTAAACTCATGCCAGTCATGTGTGCGTGTGTGCCCAAGATCCTGAGAGAAGAATGGAGGAGTAGAGACTGTGGCGTGGCCATCTCCCCTGGGGGGTGATTTATCGCTTTCTCTCTCTCTCTCTCTCTCTCTGTCTTTCTGGTGAGTGCATATGCCTTATAGAAAAAAAAAACCCCACTTAATATATACCGAGTGTCTGCACTCTTAAAAAAAAAAATATATATATATATATATATATATATATATGAAACCATACTGCTTCTGTTGTTATAGAGTTATAAAATTATACAAAATTATAAGACATTTTGAACATTATCTTTAAAATTCAGTATTTTGAAATTTTGAAAGTTGTTTGTAAACTGTCAAGAATTATGGAGTATGAGCTAAATTTTTTTGCTATGTAAAGTAAATGTTTGTGGAAAAATGTAAAAATAAATAAGTGAAAAAAAAATTGTAATTCACTAAGATTACTGATTCCCACAGTGAGAAGTCTATTCCAGCATAAAAAATATTCATCCAATAGCAGCTCCTCTGTTTTCCTTCTAGAACAAAAATTGCAAGACATTTTCTTCTGTTTTCTTAAATATAACTACTGAGTTGTTAAGAAAGTCTCGATGCATTTTTACATTAAAAAAAACCCAGAAAAATACGTCATAACTTTCCTGACAACCTAATACTTTATCACTCTGGTTCTACTTCAATGAGAAGCTATACCACTGCATTTAAAAATAATTCATTTTGGGAGTATCAAGAACTCTTACTGAGGGAACCAGCAGTTAGCGTAATGGCTATGTCGCTGGACTCCCACGTAGTCGACTGCAGTTCATGTCCTGGACCCGGTAGCTTAAAACTCACGCCAGGCGCATGTGCGTGCGTGCCCAAGATCCCAAGAAGAGAATGGAGGAGAAGGGATTGTGGCGTGACCATCCCCTCTGGGGGGTGATTTCTCGCTTTCTGTCTCTATGTCTCTCTCTGTCTGTCTGGCAAGCGCACGTGCCCTATAGCGAAAACCTCTCAAAAAAAAAAAAATTTAGCATGGGAGCATGTGCATGTATGTGTGTATATCTGCATGTATAGAGAGGGATATTTTATCACTCTCTTAAATAAACGAAAGAGGAAAGTTGAATTTAGCCATTTTCAAAAGCAAAGGCAATAAAACAGTTCATGCTCTCCTATGGTTAAGATCTCATAGTATAAAAGAAACTAAAATCTTCTGTCTACCAACTACTCAGATTTTTCTTCTCTAGGTTGCATTTTTAAAAAGTGAGTAGAGAAAGATTAAAAATGACCCATTATAGGGAAGATAAAAACTTGTCCTATAATGTGGACAGTCCTGAATTTTTAAGAATCCTGTATTAAACTTCGTAGGCAACTGAAAAAATATCTGTTTCAGAGTAACCCTGGCATTTCTATACATGAAATATACATTTACTTTAACACTGAGAAACACATTATACATTTAGAATATTGACTACAAAAAGCATTATTTAAAATTTAATCAGTTTTGTGACAGATATGGCCTATGTGATTATAAGATCAAAATAAAGTTCATACTTCATAATCTGGTCCTCCAAAGTGGGATTTTTTCTTAAGTTCTATCATTGCATTTTTGTATCCTTCCTCTGCTCTTCTTTTCTTCTCAGTTTCCTATTAAAAAAAAGTGAAAAATATATCATTTGAAGTAGGTATTTTAAATTATGACAAAACCTTTTAAGTACTAATAGATTTCCTCTGTATTTCACCAAAAACAAAACAAAAAATTCTTTCTGGAGAGGTTTTTTCTACAGGGTGCATGGCCATACCACAGTCCCTTCTCTTCCATTCTCCTCTTGGAATCTTGGGCACACACACACACGTGCCTGGTGTGATTTATGCCACTGGGTCTGGGACTCGAACCGTGGGTGACTACATGAGAGTCCAGTGACATAGCCTTTATGCTAACTGCTGGTCCCCTAGTCGGGACAATTTTAATGAGACTCCTGAACCATTAACTTAATAGATTTAAGGAGTTGTTCTGTTTTCACACTATTTTTTGTGTGCACAGGGATTCTTCTAGTATTTCAATTAGAACCACATTAAATATAGAATTGAAAATTTTTCAAGACTGGCTTTAGGATAACTATGCAATGTCTATACCTAATAAAAGGATGTTTTCATTGCCTATTTTAAATAGACATATTGCTAGTCAATACAGTCTATTCTTTCTTTCCTTCATGAATTCCTTATGATTTTCCTTTCTTCTAAAACAGAGGAACTTTCTTTTTTTTTTTTTGGAGAGGTTTTTTTGACATAGGGCACGTGCGCTTGCCAGACAGCCAGAGAGGGAGACAGAGGCCAGACAGACAGAGAGAGAGACAGAGAGACAGAAAGCAAGAAATCACGCCCCGGGGGGATGGTCACGCCGCAATTCCCTCTCCTCTGTTCTCCTCTTGGAATCTTGGGCACCAATGCACATGCGCCCGGTGTGAGTTTTAAGCCACTGGGTCCGGGACTCGAACCGCGGACGACTACGTGGGAGTCCAGCGACATAGCCATTACGCTAACTGCTGGTCCCAAACACAGGAACTTTCTTAAACACATGATGGTATTCAAAGACCGTGGCCATTTGGTCATTATAGCAGTCATAATATTGCTTTCCTTAGTGTTCTATTCAGATTCAAAGACCGTAAAACATTTCATGCAGGGCCAGCAGGTGGAGTAGTAGTTAAGGTGTTGGGCTCCCACATAGGAAGCCATGGTTGAAGTCCAGACTTTGCAGCTTGAAACTCATGATGGACATGTGTGCATGTGTGCTCAAAATCCCAAGAGGAGAATAGAAAAGAGACTGCAGTGTGGCCATCCCCCAGGGGATGATTTCTCCTTTCTTTCTCTCTGTCTCTTCGGCAAGTACATGCCCTATAGCAAAAATCTCTCAAAACAAAAAAAAAATTTTAAGACATATATTTACTGACGAATGATTAAGACTCTGATACTCTGCCTGGTATTCAGAATTGAAATATCAGAATGGAAAAAAATTCCTCTAATTTGCTACTTAACACCTTTGGACCTCAGTTCATTTTGCCCTAAAATGATGGTGCTGGACTAGAACTAGATTTTCTTTTCTAAATAATGATTTAATTTATTATTTTTTTTTCATAAGAGAGAGAAAGAGAGACAGAGAGAGAGCGAGAGCGAGCAAGCAAGCTGCCAGGGTCTGGGACTGAAACTATGGTTGATCACATGGGAGTCCAGCACCCTAACCCCCACGCTACCTGTTGGCCCTTAGAATTAGATTTTTTTTTCAAAAATTATTTAATTTTATTTATTATCATCATAATTTTTAAAACTTGCTACAGGGCATGTGTGCTCACCAGAAAGAGATGGAGAGAGAAAGAGAAGAAAAGTGAGAAAGCAAGCCACTGGGTCCCAGACTCGTACTGCAGTCAGCCATGTGGGAGTCCAACACTTCAAACACTATGCCACCTGCTGGCCCACAAAACTAGATTTTCTAAGGTACGTTTCAGTCCTAACATTTTACTAAAGTTAAATTATATACAGAAGTTTTCCTATAGACAAATTAATTGAGTGATACCTCACATTAGAAACTAATGATTCATAACTGTAATATTATTATCAGTGCTACAGTTTAAACAAAGGTGGGAAAATGTGAACATAGGGCAAATGTTCAAATAACATTATGTATGTTAAAATAAATGATAACACAATGACCATGAAAAAATACATTCTAGGACTGCAATAAGTAAATGTTTAACTTATAAAATGATACTTAAGTTAGTCCATATAACTTAAGTGCAGTTTCACATATCACATACTAAAAGTGTGTAATATTAAATGTCTCATTGCTTCTATTCCAAACCATTACCAATATTATAAAAGTGTTTACATTAAATCCTATCAAGAAAGAATACTCTGTAATAACTAAATAAGTAACTATAATTTGTTAGGAAAATGAGTTTTAAATGCCCACAACATTTTAGGGGAGTAGTAATTCCTGCTATTCTATCCATCCAATAAATTCTTTCCTAAGAAGTTAGTTTGGTTTAAATGTTTAATCAATATATAAATGAATACATAAAACTTAAATAACATGTGACTATTTTGAAAGGAAGCAAAGCTAGCCTTACCTTATCCAGTCTCTTTTGCCAGCTGTCCTCACGTTTTACCATTAGTTCAATACAATGAGAAAGTGTAGCAAGGATTCCAGCAGTAGTTGCTTTAAAAGTTATCGCTTCCCCTTTAAAGTCTATACCATTAATTCCTTTTGGTGTTACATGTGGAAACACTGAAAAAGAGGGTTATTCACTGAAAAATCTTTCTATTTAAGAAATATTTCTTCAACATAATTAAAATTAGAAAATGTTCAGAAAACTAGCAAGTAAGATTAGGTTTTTTAAGTTGTAATTTTGCTCTTGTAACCGAACATTCAAAAATTTCTCAACCATGCTCTGTTGGCAAAGAAATTTTGTGGCAGCATGTGTACTTTCAAGCCTTTTTTGCTAGATTCTATTTCCTGAAATGTATTTACTGTGCAGCACCCAGTGAATCAAGTGGTAGGAGGAGTAATACTTTAACAATAACATGCTGATAGCTCAGAGCAGAACAGAACTATGGTAAGAACTACCTTACATCTTGGAAAACCTAGAATTTTAAATAATTCTGTAGAACTGAAGTAAAATTAAAATTTTAAAATAAATATCCAAATTTAAGTCAAGAGCTAATACCCACATTAAATGGCTTTTAGTTTATATTCTTTAATTTTAATTCATAATTTGCTTTGGAAGTAAATGAACTTTAACACTTATGAGATGCAAACAAACAGCATATCTTATTCTATTGTTGAAAAGAAACCAGTCAAGCAGAATTGTCATAAATAAAATAATGACATTTCTGACTTTAGAAATGTATTTGCCAATGTGACAATAAAGATGCAATACATAAAAGAACAAGCTGATAAATTGCATTTCATCAAGATTTAAAATTTCTGCTTTGGAAAACAGAAGAGAATGAACAGATGAGTCAGGGACTTGGAGAAAAATCTGTCAAGACATATATCTAACAAAAGACTTGGGTCAAGAATATATAAAGTAACTTCAAAACACAACAATAAGAAAATAAACTCAAAAACGAAACAAAACAAATATAAGTCCAAATCCTATATTTCTTGAATACCTTATAAATAAATAGATACACACATGCTAATATTTTAATTTTAGACATAATCTATGAAGATATTATAGTAGATATTCAGTTCACTAAGCATCATTCCCACTTCCTCAATTACTATGCCTTAATACTACTTTTGGTTAAAATGGTATCCAGTACTGGTATAATTATTACCATGTGAACACTGTTGACTGTTGAACCAAGTAGTACACTATAATTATGGCTCCCACCTTGTCTATTTTTTTGTTTTTTCCAGAGTTAATAAACTCCCCTGTTAAAACAAATTAATATATATATATATATATATATATTTTTTTTGTTGATAATCCCCAAAATAGACAAGTGGGATTACATCAGATTAAGAAGTTTCTGAATGGCAAAAGACACAGTAATTAGTGTGAATCGACAGCCCTCAGAATGGGAAAATATTTTTGTTAGTTATGCATCAGATAAGGGACTGATAACCAGAATGCACAACGAACTGAAGACGCTGTTGGGAAAAAAAGATGATCAAATCCTATTAAAAGATGGGAGGAGTTGAAAAAAACTCTGTCTAAAGATGACATACGAATAGCCAAAAGGCATATGAAAAAATGCTCATCATCCCTCATTGTAAGAGAAATGCAGATCAAAACAACATTGAGATACCACCTAACCCCAGTCAGAATATCTAAGATTAAAAAACAAAAAATGGTAAGTGTTGGCGGGGGTGTGGTGAAAGGGGAACTCTTTTACACCGCTGGTGGGAATGTAAATTGGTTATCAGTTGAAGATATTTTGATCAACTGGACTGGGGAGAAATGTTCACATATTGAAATGTTCACTTTGTAAGCTAAATATTGTGATTGAGAACCCGCCAGGGAGCCCTCAGAGCCCAGCGCTGCCATGTCTTCCTGGGCCACCGTGAGCGCCTTGCGTGCCTGGTGGAGCAGCTCAAGCTGCAGGCGGGCGTTGAGAGGATCAAGGTCTCTCAGGCCTCCGCAGAACTTCAGCAGTACTGTATGCAATGCCTGCAAGGATGCGCTGCTGATCGGTGTTACGGCTGGAAGCAACCCCTTCCCTGGGAGCCCAGATCCTGTGCTTTACTCTGAAGACTTAGAAGAAGTTTGCTGAAGAAGTTTGCTGAGAAATGCCTTCAAGCACAAACAGATGAACGACTGCCTCCACATCTCAAGAAAACACTTTTCTCTAGCCAAATGACTTTTAGATATTTCAGACCTTTCCTGTGGCTTGGCCCTCTAGCCAAAATTTTATAGAAATTGAAGTTTGTACTCAAATAAGGAAACTAGGTGAAAGAGGAGAGTTTTAAACCATAATATCCTGGTTCTTTTGGCAAAGTGCTTTGTATTGAGGACAAATACTTTACTACCAAATATACCAGGATGCATCTCTTTCATAAGTGAACTGCTGGTATTTTTCTGTACCTGGAATACTATGTGTGTTTTATTTACTGGATGTTTACATTTTGGGAAGGAAGACATTTTTGTTTATTAGAATGAATGGAATATTTGTAATTTCTTGTTCCAGACACAGACTTTTATAGCATAACAAAATTTGTTCTTTTCTTATGAATTTATACTTTCTAAGTAAAGACCGGAAAATAAAAACTGGGGGAAAGAATAGGCTTTACTAATCAAATGCTCTCTTGGTTTTTTTAAAATGAGAAGATTGTTTTATTTTTATTTTTATTTTTTTAGAGGTTTTCGCTATAGGGCGCGTGCGCTCGCCAGCCAGCCAGAGAGAGACATAGAGACAGAAAGCGAGAAATCACCCCCCGGGGGGATGGCCACATCGCAATCCCTTCTCCTCCATTCTCCTCTCAGGATTTGGGCACGCACACATACGCGCCTGGCGTGTATTTTAAGCCACTGGGTCCGGGACGTGAACCGTAGTCGACTATGTGGGAGTCCAGCGACATAGTCATTACGCTAACTGCTGGTTCCCTAGATTGTTTTATTTTTAACACTAAAGATGAGAGCTGTTCCTTAGCAAATTTGTTTAGAAAGATCATTATTATGTTTTGAGTTGCCCCATCCTGTATATGAAACAGATTCGATTATTGTCATCTTAAGTTCCTTTACTTTGTAGTTGTTCTTGTACTTTAAAAAGAAATACCACATTATTTCATGTCTTTAAAAATGTTTAAAATGTGACCTACCAAATATTGCAAATGGTTTTAAACAAAATAACGTGAAAATATTAGAACTTAAAAGAATTCTTCATGTCACAAGTATTTTACTTTGAGGATGTGCCTTTGACTTAATTTGGGACATTTTTGAGCTACTTTGTGTTTGTAATAATCTTTAAAGAGCCTGGAAATAAAATTTTTCCTTAATTCAAAAAAAATACATTGTGATTGAATGTATATAAAAAATAAATTAAAAAAGGTTGCTGGGTTTTCTTTCTTTTAAAGATCTGTTTATTTATTATTGTTATTTTATTTTTCAGGAGAGGTTTATGCTATAGGGCACGTGTGCTTGCCAGAAGGACAGAAAGAAAGAGAGACAGAGAACTAGAAATCACCCCCCAGGGGGATGGCCATGTCGCAATCCCTTCTCCTCCTTTATCCTCTAGGGATCTTGGGCACGCACAGACATGTGCCTGGTGTGAGTTTAAGCCACCGGGTCTGGCACTCGAACTGCAGTTGACTACGTGGGAGTTCAGTGACATAGCTATTACGCCAACTGCTGGTCCCTATTATTGTAATTTTTCAACTTGACCAGAGAGAGAGAGAGAGAGAGAGAGAGAGAGAGAGAGATTGATTGAGAAAGTAAGCCACCAAGTCTAGGACTCGAACAGTGGTTAGACATGTGGGAGTCCAGAACCCTTAACCACATCACCTGCCAGGCCAAGTTGCTGGGTTTTCTATGTATCTTTCACTGACTATTCTCAAACAAGTGAACATAAGGGATTCTCAGGGTGATACCCTAAGTGAACAGCAGCAACATCACCTGCGAACTTGTTACGAAACACAAATTCTCAAGCTCTACCACAGATCTATTGAGTCAGAACTCTGAGAGTGGTGATCAAAACTCACTGGTGATCAAAACCCTACAGGTGATTCTGAAACACACTAAAGTTTGAGAACATTCCAACAAAACTTTAAACACTTCTCCCTTATTTCTATCACCAATCAGAACTATTTTCTAAATGGTCTAATGTACTGGATAACTTACCACTTGTTTCATTTTCCAGAGGCCTTCCCTCATGTCCTCTTATCCTCTACTTTAATATAAATTGGTTAATCTCTAGACTTGTTACATAACCTAAAAAGGTGAGTATCCAGGAATTTTCCTCTGCAATCATCATAGGGTTTCCTTCTTTCCTTTGCTCCTGTACTAAATCTCCTATTTCTGGATTCTATGATTTGTCACTGTTCATCTATGGTTTATTTGGTGAAAGTAATTTTGTGCTAAAAGTGTATAAAAAATCTTAAAACTGGAATATCTTAAAATATCTTTATTTCACCTAGTATTTTATTGAAAGATTAGCTGGATATTAAACTCAAGGCTGAAAATAATTTTCACTGAGAATAATGAAAGACACTATTCTACTGTCGTAATACCTAACCTCTTGTGAAGATCAATATAATTGTTATTAGTTTCTAGTTTACAACTTTACCTACTCCCTCATCATTCCCATCTTAAGGATGATCTTATCTGAAGATGAGATGCATGTCTTGTTGAAGATTTTATTTTGTTCCTCTAACTCACATTTGCTATTGTGAATGTTAAGTTGCTCCTTTCAACCCAGAGACTCCGAACTCTATTTTGTGGAATCTTCTTCCATTAGTTCCTTGATAATTCTCCCTCTCTATTCTGTTCTCTCTTTCTGGAATTCTTACTAGTCATATGTTGGGTTCTCTGTGCTGGTACTCATATTTTGTCTTCTCTTTTTCTATTCTTTAGTACTTTTCTTCTATTTTCTGGGCCTTTTACTCAAGTTTATGGACCATTCCTTCTAGAACTTTTTTTTATATTCTTGTTTTTAAAATTAATTTTCAAGAGTTCTTTCTGTCAAGAATAAAACTGTGTTCTCATTAAAAACATTAAGTACAGTTTTCTGCTTCCTGCATTATCTTGAGTTTTTTTTTTTTTTTTTTCTATCAATAGTTTGCTTGTTTTGGTCTCTATCTTTCATATTGGAAACTTTGGTCAAATATCTGAAGATCTAGCTAACTGTTCATATTTAAGAGTTAGTTTGTTGGGGGCCAGCAGGTGCTATGGTGGTTAAGGGTGCTGGACTCCCATGTGGCTGACCATGGTTCGAGTCCTGGACCTGGCAGGTTACTTTCTCACTTTCCCTTTATCTTTCTCTCTCTCTCTGTTCCTCTCTGGTCAAATTAAAATAAATAAAGTTAAATAAAAAAATAATCTTTAAAAAAAAGTTAGTTGCTGGAAACTTTGTGTACAAAAGCATAGTAGACGTCACTGAAAGGTGACCTGGTGGTGAGGCAGTTATTTCAGAGTAAATTTCCCTCCAACATCTCTATTTATAGGTCTTTTTCTCTATGGTCATTTAGTTTCTCCAGAGTTGCATTCTAATTCTGTGTCAGAAAATGTATATTTGATTGATAGCTGGTTGAGAGGGGCTAGGGAGTACATCTTTCACAATGCAGACTTTAACTTAGTCCCTGGCAACCCGAGTTTTTGGCTACAAGCAGAACAAAGAGGCAGGAAAATCTCAATGATCAGGAAGTACATTTATTTAAACACTGTACAGACAGACAATACACTTGTCTTTTGCTGTTCCAGGTATTCCTCAATTAAGAACTATCCAGTTTAATTTCTACGAAAAACTTCCATTTTCTTTTGGGGAATATGCATGAGGTAGCTGAATATATGTGGATTGGAGGATTGGGCATGGGAGTTTTACCTCTTTCAGTAACTTTTCTAATATCCAAACAAAGTGTTAAAGCAGATTATTAAAATGAATTAAAATATAATAGAAATAACCTTTCCAAACAATCCTCTAATTCCATAAAGATACACACATTTGGTTGACTCATTAAGTTTCAACTTTTCAGTCCTTTGCTATAAGGACAATTTATATAATAAGCTATAATATTAAGCTAGTATTTTGCAAGACTGAGAAGGGAGTAGGCTGTAAGAAAGAAGAGAGCCAGGATAAAAATAAGAAACATGGAGAAATGTGATAGAAAAGGTGGGGGAAAAGAAGCATTGGATTCTAGTATCATTAATAGAATATCCAATACGACCTCTAAAATAGAAAGTTATTTCCATGTATACAATAGTTTAAAGAAATGATTTGAAAATGTGCCACAATCACAGATTTTTACTTTATATTCTTCTATAATTAAGCATGAAAACAACTAAACAAACTAAAATTTTTTTCACAAAGATTTATTCATAATTTAAAATTTTTCAGGATTTCACTCTAGCTTTTGATAGGAATGTATCAAAAGAAGAGAACTAACCAGGAATCATAATAATGAATAATTCAAAGTTTGTTCTAATGAGTTAGCCATTATAAATGAAGCAACAATTAACCACTGTATGAAGTAAATCATCTAGCTCTCGAGTCTATAAACAACTATGATATGAAGACTAAGCTATTTCAATAACTTTCCTTTAATAACACTCATTATATACTTTTTAACACCAGTTTATAAAGGTGAGACAAAATTATGGTAAACAGAAACACTCTAAAAAAGCATTCAAGGCAAGTTTCATTCCAATATTTTCCTGTGCCTCCGAGAAACGATCTTTTTTAGTAATAGAAAAAGATTTTGTCAAATACTGCTGAAAGAAATAGGCCAATATCTGGATTTTAGAATGAGCCTTTGTTAGATAGTGAGTTGTTCACTATTACATAATGTCAGAATGTGATTTTACCTATATGTCTTTCATAGAAGATATCTGAACTGGATTTTGGCAATTCTATTGCTTTTTAAAAAATTACTTGATTCAGTAATCATTCTTTTTTATATATTGGGTTAATATACAATTTCAGAAAGTATATTTCTTCTAGCTGAGTGGGAAAAATGTATTACTTACACTTTTCTTTATTGCCATTGGTATTATGTAAGAAATCTCCATCAGAACGTGTTGTAGGAAAGTCATCTTCATCATCTTCTACCACTATACATAAAAGGACACCAAGATGAAAAAAAATTTAATCAGTTTGTTTTTATATTCAACTGTGTCAATATACTCTGGATTCTTTGAATACAATATCTTACTCGTCTAAATTTCACTGGTCACCAAAATATGCTCCATAAATATGCTATGGAATGTCTTTAAATTTAGTACATAATTTAAAAATACACTTATTCTTATTGTGTAAGGGATCATTATTGAGTTAGAAATTATTCTACCCTTTAGTCTTATCTCTTTCTACCTACATTGGGAGCCATTTATTTCATACCTCTACAAGAGGCCTAGAGGGGCTGAGCATGGGGTATCCTACATGCAGAAAACAGCTTTGCCCCTGGAGTTCTTAAATCTACCATTTTTTGATAGGCAGGAAAATGTAACTTACAGATGTGATAGCAATTTTCATGCATCCCAATGAGTGTCTGTGCCAGGATATCCCCCCCCTTTTTTTTTGCCAGTCGAATGAGATCTGTTTAATGGATCCATATAAAGTAGGATGGAGACACAGTTGCTTTGTTAAAAAAATTTAAGTTTTACATAAAAATATGGAACGCTTCACGAATGTGTGTGTCATCCTTGCGCAGGGGCCATGCTAATCTTCTCTGTATCGTTCCAATTTTAGTATATGTGCTGCGGAAGCGAGCATGCCAGGATACCCCCTTTAACTTCTCTAATTTCCGGGGGTGGGGGAGGGGGAGGAATCCCTTGTTTTTCTTCTTTACATCTCTTTCTTGTAGGTACTTTTTTTACTGCCTAACAAACTTTCATTCTCTGTACTATATATTTTATTCATAACTCAAATTTCTGAACCTTAGCCCCCAACATTCTTTACTGCTTTATCACTTTTTTCTTCTTTTTTATTAACTTTTGAGGAACTTTCTACAAAAGGAATATTAATTCTAAAGTAATGTCTTATAAATTATTGCTTTTATCTCTTTAAGAGTTCTTTGGCTCTGAAAGGAACATCTCATCCTCTTTAACTCTCCTATAGATGTAAAGCCCAATACATTACTCACTCCCTTGACTGAACAGTAGAACTCACCATTTAAAATACTTTTATTCTGTACTGCAATTTTCTAATTACTGGACTCTTTCATTTTTTCATTACCTGAAAATTTTGCTACTCATCTATGACAACTTTTCAAACCATAACCTACAATTATCTACTAACACATTATGTTGATTTGTACTTGGCTGAATGGCATCCATATCTAATGGGCATTTTTCTTTCCCACTTCCATTACTCTTACACACTTAACATCCATACTGAAGCCTCTGCAGATATTTAGTCCAAAATTAAACACTTTCTCAGAACTATGACTCTTCATCTCTTCACCAATCATTTCTAATTATGTTCAATTATAAACAATCTATCAACATAGCACACTGCTATGTAATGGCTATGTTGCTGGACTTCCATGCAGTCGACTGTAATTTGAATCCTGGACCAGGTGGCTTAAACTCATGCTGGGTGTGTGTGTGTGCATGCCCAAGATCCTGAGAGGAGAATGGAGGAGAAGGAATTGTGGCGTGGCCATTCCCCCGGGGCAGATGACTTAAACTCACGCTGGGTACATGTGCATGCATGCCCAAGATTCCGAGAGGAGAATGGAGGAGAAGGAATCATGGAGTGGCCATCCCCCCTGGGCAGTGATTTTTTGCTTTCTCTTTGTCTCTGTCTTTTTGGTGAGTACATGCACCTTATAGCAAAAACCTCTTTAAAAAAAAAAAAAAGAAAAAAAGAGTTGATTTCTTGCTCATTTCTCAGGCCTGTTCAGGCAGAATATGAACTTCATAAAGTTAATTACCACTTAGAAAAGTTCCTGTGCAACATTGCTCTTCATGGAAGGCATTTTACACACACACACACACACACACACACACACACACACAAGCACAATTTGTTAAAACTCTTTGTGAAGAGTTTTTAGGCTGTATTGAGTTGTTGGAAAAGTCATGACACATTTTTGCATAGGAAAACAGAAAAATATGTCATGACTTTTCTGATGACCCAGTATGTTAGTTTTGGACAAATATGGCTATTATCACAAAATTTAAAGCTGTTTTCTTCTTTATATTTATCTTTTCCCAGTATCTTTTGTTCTCAGATTAAAAATCATACCTATTATCAACTGAAGTTACAATGCAATTATCCCGAAATTAGTTCCTTGGCATGATACCATAAAGATACCATCAAAATACCTTTTAGGATTTAGATCTTAACCCTCACTTTCTAGCATTTTTCCAAATCTGCACACTTTTTTTTTTTTACCTTTATAATGAAGATTATGAAGTTTATTACTTACTCCTCAGTTCTACCTTTGAGTATTCTTTCTTACAGCAACCAATAATTATGTTCTAGATTGATCTGTTTTCATAATGTGAAGGATGTAGTTTCTTGGAAAATTAAAAAGCCCTCTTTATATTGTTTTTGCCTTTCTGCTGCCTTTTCATCTTCAGAAGGCTTATTTACAATGCTGGCTCTTATTTCTTCTAGAAAGGTTATCTACACTCATCTAAGAGCTTTTAAGAATATAGCCTAGAGCTCTATCTCTCCCTGAAACCCTTCAATAATCAGTTTCAGTAGACTAGGATGACATGTATGATACAGTTACTTTTTCTTTCTAAGTTCCTCCAGGTGATTTCTGTTAATCAACCAGATATCTTTTTTTCTTTTCATCATCCAAATATTTCTTATTCACAAGCAAAATCAATCTTCCTTTCAAACTACCCCTTCACCATAATCTTGACCCCCAGATACAAAAGGTTTTTATAAAGGTCAACAATTTATTTTATTATCGTTTTAGTATCACACAGAATACATGCACTTGTCAGAGAAACAGAGAGGGAGAAAGCACCACCTTCATGGGGTGTGAACATATCTCAATCCTTCCCCTGCCTGTCTCCATCCTGTTGGGATTTGGGGCATACATGCACACATGCCCAGCATATTTTTCAAGTTGCAAGAGCCATGATTCCAACCATGGTCAGACTTGCGGGTTCTGGCTCCCTGAACCACAAGGCTACAGTGCTGGCCCCAGAGGTCAACTATCTTTTAATAAAATCTATTTTATAGCTTCTTCCCTTTTCTTCCTCGACCTCTACGCTGAAATTTTTTATTAATGAAAAGGACACTGCCCTCCCCCCCGCTTTTTTTAAAAGTGAAGGATATTTTAAAATCAAGCATTAAAGAAGTAAAATATTTTAGAGAGTTATTTATTTAATCTCTTATGTTAAATTTGCCATAGGGCAAGGGTTTTTATCAGAGACAGAAAGAGAGAGAGAAAGCAAGCTGCCAGATCTGCAAATGAACTGCAGTCAGCCTTGTGGGAGTCTGGTGCCTTAGCCGACACTCCAGCTGTCTGCTGGCTTCAAGAAACCAAATCTTGAGCCCCACTCCTTCTACCTCTGCAACCCGTAGCTGCCACCGCCACCTCCCGAGAAGAGAGGAAGCGGGAGGGGAGCCCAAGACACTTGTCATCGGAGTCCTCCAGCCGCGCCCCCCCAAAGTGTGTAAGATGTTCACCTGCGCCAAGCTCGCCTGCTCCCCAACTCTGGTCCGAGCTGGATCCAGAGTTGTGTACAGACCAATTTCTGCATCAGCGTTATCTCGACCTGAGGCAAGGACTGGAGAGGGCTCTATGGTATTTAATGGGGCCCAGAATGGTGCCTCTCAGCTAACTCAGAGGGGATTTCAGACCAGTGCAATCAGCAGAGACATTGATACTGCTGCCAAATTTATTGGTGCCGGTGCTGGGGAGTGCCTGGTTCTGGTGCTGGTATTGGAACAGTCTTTGGCAGCCTTATCATTGGTTATGCCAGAAACCCTTCGCTGCAGCAGCAACTGCTCTCCTATGCTATCCTGGGATTTGCCTTATCTGAAGCTATGGGTCTCTTTTGTTTAATGGTTGCTTTCTTGATTTTGTTTGCCAGGTAACAGAAATTACTGCTTGAAATATTGGCATTCATCTGTGTATCTTACTGTGGCCCCCAAAACTAGTGTTGGTGTCATGGAAATGTACGTTATTTCCAAAGTCATTTCATTAAAGTTAAAAACTTTAATTTTTGCTGTGATCTGTACTTATCTAAATTTAGACTGTCACAAAGAAAAGCATGCATTCAAGCGGATGCTGTTCAATTCAGAAGAAGCTACAGTAATTGCCCCACTGATGAAAACAATCTTACTGTAATTTTTATGGGAATTTTATATAGTGTTCTTCACACTAATTTGGAGGGCTTTTGTTTATTCATAAAAGGAGAAAAATTTGAAAAAATAAAAAAAGGGGGACCAGCAGTTAGCGTAATGGCTATGTCGCTGGACTCCCACGTAGTCGACCGCAGTTTGCGTCCTGGACCCGGTGGCTTAAAACTCACGCCGGGTATGTGTGCGTGCATGCCCAAGATCCCGAGAGGAGAATGGAGGAGAAGGGATTGCAGCGTGACCATCCTCCCTGGGGGGTGATTTCTCGCTTTCTGTCTCTATGTCTGTCTCTGTCTGTCTGGCGAGCGCACGCACCCTATAGCAAAAACCTCTCCAAAAAGAAAAAAAGAAAAAAAGAAACCAAATCTTAAAGTGTATCAAATATGAGGAACGTAAAGGCTACTTAATTTAAACAAATTAATATTTAATATAAATTAAATATAAATTAAACATAAATTAAGTACTTTAGAGAAATATGGATTTCTGCTTCTGGTTCAGATGGAGTAACAAGTACTGAATTTATCCTCTAGCAAGAAACTGAAAAAACTGGACAAACTATATGACACGACAGTTTTCATACATTTCAGACAAAAAGGACAATGATTCCTGAGAGTTGGGAAACAGCTCTCTCAACTGAGATCAATTCTATGATTGCTCTAGTTCACCACCCTGGGAGTTTCCAAGCTGTATAGTTATGAGAAGGAACTCAGGAAGAGCCCGGCACACTGCCTATAGTAAGAAAATGATACAGAATCTATAGAGACAAGGACAACGGGAGTTCACAAGGCACAGTACTGGAGAGGAGAAAGCTGCACAGGTAACACTGGAGACTGGCAGCAAGTCCTCCTTGTATATGCAACAGAGTGCAGAGAGTACACACAAGCAACCGAGTTAAAAAGGTCAGGGGAAGAACTTTCTTGAAAGGATTTCAGGGAGTAGCACTTGCAGCTGAAATGGGGGGCAAGGATAGTATCTATTTCCAAAATATCTACTGAAAAACTTCACAGTTCATAGGGAATTGGTTGAAGAACTCGGAAAAGCCCCGCCTTGTAGTGAGGAAAAATGGAAATACATTTTTGGAAGGTTCTGATAATCCAGATTAATGGTATAAAACTACTTCAAGGTAGACCGTGGTAGGTTAAATACAAAAACTATAAATTAGCCACTGAAATAATAAAAATGAAGAGTTATAGCTAAGAAGCCAACAAAGGAGACAAAATGAAGTTAAATACAAATACTTAGTCCAGAAGGCAGAAAAAGGGACAAAAGGGCTAGCAGGTGGTGTGGTGATTAAAGCACTGGACTCCTACATGGCCAGTCATGGTTTGAGTTCCAGAGGCTTGAAAATCACAGCAGGTGCATGTGCATGTGTGCTCGAAATCCTGAGAGAAGAATGGAGAAGGGATTGTGGCATGGCCATACCCCTTATGGGGTGATTTCTCATTTTCCTTGTCTTTGCCTCTCTCCAGTCAGTGCATGCACTCTATGGAAAAAAAAAAAAAGAAAGAAGAACAAAAAAAAACTAAAAAAAAAAAAAATCTTAAAAAAAGAAATAAAAAAAGAACAAATAATAGAGAAGACAAAAATAATCTGATCTCAGATGAGATAAGAAAAAAAAGAAATGTCAAGCAACTTAGTTGTCATGGGAATGAACTGAAGTACCATTTAGTAAAACTGCTGAAATAGTTTATTTTTGCCTTCACAGTAAATTAAGAAAAAACCCTGAAGAACAGATGTTGACACTAGCAGAATCTTTAGCACTAACCTCACATTAAAAATTAACAGGAAGATCATACCTTCCTTTTAAATAAAAACTCACTAAAAGTAATTTTAAAATATATAGGTAGCCCCATTATTGATTACTCCTTATAAGCAAAGGGAAGAGGGAAGCAAGAAGGAAGGAGAGAAAAACAACGAAAGAGAGAAAGAAGAGTGAGGGAAGAAAGAGGAAGATGAGTGGAGCAGAGTAGGAAAAACAGATCGACAGGTCCCAGATCTGGAATATTTAACATAGAGGTGGCTTTAGTAGACTCATCATTGGCTAGTTTAATAGACAAAATAACTTGAAATGCTACAAGTTATCAAGATAACAGCTGCTACTTTTTTTTTTTTTTTTAGAGAGATTTTTTTGCTATAGGGTGCATATGCTCACCAGAAAGACAGAGATAGAAAGTGAGAAATGAACCTTCAGGGAGGATGGCCACACCCAATCCCTTCTCCTCCATTCTCCTCTAGGGACTTTGGGCACACATGCACATGTGCCTAGCATGAGTTTTATTTTTTTAAAAAAAGAATTGTGTAATTTTATTTATTCATTCATTTATTTAAATTTGATCACACACACACACACACACACACACACACACACACACACAGAAGGAAAGTGAGGAAGCAAGCCACCAGGTCTAGGACTCGAACTGTGATCAACTATGTGGGAATGTCCAGCACCTTAACCAGCATGCTACCCACCAGCCTCCCTGGCATGAGTTTTAAGCCTCCTGGACAGGAGTTGAACCATAGTCGACGATGTGGGAATCCAGCCATATAACCATTACACTATTTGCTGGTCCCTTGATACCATTTTTTTTTTTTTGATACCATTTTTTTAAAGAATTATTTTAACTTTATTTATTTCAATTTGACCAGAGAAGGACAGAGTGAGAGAGAGAAAGACGGAAAATGAGAAAGCAAGTCGTCTGTTCTGGGACTCGAACTGTGGTTGGCCATGTGGGACTCTAGTGCCTTTAATCACCATGCTACCTGCCAGCACTCAGATACCATTTTTTAATTAACAAAAGAATATCATTCAAAAGTCTTCAATGACATCTGGCACAGATGACTGAAAGTGATTTAATATGTTACTAAAAAGTACCCAAGGTACATGGACACTAATACCTATTGCACTGAGAGTTTGCAGCAAAATCCACTATAATTACCTTCACCAAGTAAAGATATTACCCTTTAAGATCAAGAGGCTTTAAATCTATTCATTCTCCAAATAAAAATAGTGGAAAAGCTTAATTAACCTTTATCCCTTTGAAGTTCATCTTTAGAGACAGCATCAGCACAAGCATCAAAGAATTTCTGTAGAGTATCAACTTGTCTACATAGGATATCTCTAAAGGTTTCCATTTCAGCCAATTTCTCACGTAAACTGTGGCCTTTCTGCAAAACACAAAGGAAATATGTACATCAAGTGAAAAAAACCTGGACTTCAATTGGTCCTATGGAATTTTATTACCTTTGAGGATCTGCACCTAATCACTGAGAGCATGTTCAATGTAAGACTTCCAGGAGTAGGCTTGAAACTGACTAGTCTGGTGGCTTGATAATAATAAGTATGCAGGAATAAGAAAGCAATACTGTGCTAGTATGATAGTCAATAATTTGACATTTGGCATCGTGGAGAAAAATTGTGAAAACTTTGAAAAGGGAAAAATATGACTGGTGTCTTTTCAAGAAAAGTAAGTGTCATCTATGGGATTACATAGAAGTTTTTGTCTTTTACTACATTTGAGTTATTTTATAACTCTTTAAGTAGAAAATTTAGCAATGTAAACCATAGAGATTTAAGTGAATTTTGTCTGTGCAGAGGGACTGATTATTAATCTGTGGATACTGACCAATTATGTGTATATCAGCCATTTCATTTCAGTATTCTTCAGATTCTTTGAATCAACTTTTAGGATTTATTTTACCTCATTAATTAATGAATTAACAAAATAAAATCTTAGACATGTGTACATTTTATGAGTCATTTTACCCCTTAAAAGTTATTCTATAGAATAACAACTTGTTATAGAATGTAACTGATTATTAATATAATTGGATATAATTTTAAATAAATCATATTGTAGAAAAGTTCTCCCCAAGAACTACCAAATAAGGTTCTGTTCATGACATCCAATACTAAACTCAATTTATGTTGCCATAATTTAAAGCATTCATAATAGCAAACCTTGAATGATGAGGTGGATGTTGCAGAATAGCCACTTGCTCCAGACACCAATGACACCATTGAGCCATGTCGACGCAAGCTGGATTCGGATCCATATCCAGATTCAGTCTAAAAAGAAAGTAAACTAACATGAAAAAATAATTTAAATAAAAAATACTTAAAACAAGAGGTTTCCTATAAATTAACAAGATTATTTTAACAATAATTAGCAGCTTGCACTCACATAAGAAATAGTGTTGACCCGCTAACATAGCAATGCCTTCCAATTCCCAATTGTTATTTAATTAGAAATGTATTAAATACCTATTTTGTGCTGGGCTGATGAGTTAAAAGAATGTTTAATAATAGGAAAACTACCTAAAGTAGTCAAATGCATAGAAACAGGTGGTTACTAAGGGCTGGGAGAGGAAAAATGAGAGTTAGTATTTAATACAGTTTCAAACTGGAAAAAATAAAAAAGTTTTTGAGATGGATAGTGGTGAGGGTTGAACAACAGTGCGAATGTACTTAATGCCATAGAAACACACAATGAAAGGTAGTTAAAATGGTACATTTTACAGTATATCTATACCACAATGTAAAATAAGGACAGGATAATGCCCCCCTCAAAAAAAAGCAAGAAAATCTACAGTACTATTTCTTTATAGATGAATCATTCATCCTGGCACAGCCCAAACGCCACTGCCACAACACTTTTACTTTTACGCCATGCAGTTCATCTCTGTATTCTCATTTTCAACATATCACATCAATTACAACAGTTTACATTTTGTAGTTACAAATGAACTTGGATATTTCTAGAAGCATACTAGGTTTTTATCATTTTTTTGTAGCCACAACAGTTCATGACACACAAAGTTTCCATCTTGCCAGTTTGCTGTCATCAAACTATGGATGATTTTGAGACATAATTAAACTCAATACCATGATAATACTTCCATTTTGATGGGCATTTTTGAGAGCATCTATTTTTATATTTCACTTTCCCTAATACAAATGCAGTATTAATAACAGGCCAAAGAACTGAACATTTTAAAGAAAATTATTTTAAGAACCTAATACCAAGGATTTTAGATCTCTGATTACTTTCTACTACTACTTTTTATTTTTGTTAAGACAGGTGATGTGGTAGTTAGGGTGGCTGAATCCTACATGCCAACTATGCCATTTGAGTCCCAGACCTGGTATCTTTTTTTTTGGAGAGGTTTTTAGCTATAGGGCGTGTGCGCTCGCCAGAAACACAGAGAGAGACGAGAGACAGAAAGTGAGAAATCACCCCCCAGGGGGGATGGCCACGCCGCAGTCCCTTCTCCTCCATTCTCCTCTTGGGATCTTGGGCATGCACGCACACGCACCTGGCGAGAGTTTAAGCCACCGGGTCCAGGATGTGAACTGTGGTTGACTATGTGGGAGTCCAGTGACATAGCCATTACGCTAACTGCTGGCCCCCCAGACCTGGTATCTTGAAAGGCATACTGGGGGCATGTGAATGTATGCCCCAAATCCCAAGACGAGAATGGAGAAGACGGAACTGTGGTGTGGTCATCCCTTCTAGCGGGTGATTTTTTTCTCTCTGTCCTCCCATCCCTGGAGAGCACACAAACCGTATACAAAATTAGGAAAAAAAAAAAAAAAGACAGGGATTCATCATAATCATCCTCTTGCTTTAGCTTTCTATCTGGGACTATAGGAGCATGCCATCATGTCTAGCTCTTCTTTCTCACAGGGTCTTGGTATTTATGTTTAATAGCTTTTCTTTATTTTAATGGGGGAAAAAACCTAGTTATTTTTTTCTTTTAATACTTAAGAGATTAGTACTAAAAACAAAATCAAAAGCTGCATTGTATATCATTTTAACACTAGTTACTACACTTGAGAGATTAAATAGTATGGTATCAAACCTATGGCAGCAATTAGAAATTGGGACTAGCAGATGGCATAATGGTTACCTTGCTGGACTCCCACATGGCCGACTGAGGTTCAAGTCCCAGACCTAGTAGTGGGAAACTCAGCTGGACACATTTGCATGCATGCCCAAAATCCCCAGAGAAGAGGTGAGAAGGGATTGCGGCATGGCCATCTATTTTTTATGGTGAGCACACGTGTCCTAGAGCAAAAAATCTCTCTCTGAAAAAAAAAAGTTTTATTAAGTTGTCAGGAAAATCATGATGTATTTTTTTATGCAAAAATGCATCATGACTTTTCTGACAATTCAACAGGTTACTTGATTTTCAAGATTAGGATTAGGCGTGATACTACAAAGCTCTGAAATGCTGGAAACCATACACAAGATTAGGGTTCGGTTCCTGTACATACACATGTGCTGTAATCCTAGCTGGCTGTAGACTGAAGGTGTCCTAAGGGGAAGGGTTGTGGCATGAAATCCTATTGAGGGTGTTTATCTTTGTCTATCTTTCTCACATGAAAGAAAATTAAAGAAAAATATTAGAAAATACTACAATTATACTGTATAATAGAAAATAATCCCACATATTTTATATTCTCTGTGCTCCAAACTCCTGAAAACCCATTACATTTCTTACATAGCTATTGATTTGTCTGTGAAATTATTCTAATAGGAACACATTCTTTTGGGTATGAAAACACTAAGCTTCTATACTGACTTAATTAGTAAATAAAAATTTGATAATCTTGTTTTACTATAAATGATATGAAGAGTCATTCAAATCATTTTTCTAATTCAGTAATGCTCCATTTATCTTAAACTTATTTTCCCAAGAACTGAGAGCTTCTGGAGTGGCAACAAATCAAAGAACAAACTAGCCATTTTGAAGAAAGGAAGAAAGGACAGAAAAAACTAAGCAGACATTAATTTTTAAGAATAGCTGTAGGAGGACCAGCAGGTGGTGTGGTAGTTAAGGCCCTGGAATATCCCACACGACTGACCATGGTTCAAGTTCCAGACCTGGTGGCTTTCTCACTTTCCTTCTCTGTCTGTCTCTCTCTGGCCAAATTAAATAAATAAATGAATAAGTAAAAAGTAAATAAATAATTCTTTAAAAAAGAAAGAATAGCTGTAGGGAGCAAAGATTATGATTAACACTAAGAAGGAAAGGAAAGGTGTGCTTATTCACTGAAGTTGAATTGAAAACAAAACTATTAAATTCATTAACTTTAAATTCACTGAAGGTTGCAGGGAACCAGCAGTTAACGTACTGGCTATGTCGCTGGACTCCCACGTAGTCGACCATGGTTTGCGTCCCGGACCTGGTGGCTTAAAACTCACGCCAGGTGCATGTGCGTGCATGCCTAAGATCCCGAGAGGAGAATGGAGGAGAAGGGATTGTGGCATGGCCATCCCCCTGGGGGTTGATTTCTCACTTTCTGTCTCTCTGTGTCTTTCTAGCGAGTGTACACGTCCTATAGCAAAAACCTCTCCCCTTCCCCAGGAATTACATACTTCATAAGCTTATTCAAATGAAAGAAAAATATGGGTGGGCCCATAGCATGGTGGTTAAGGAAAGCATATCCCAAATGGTTGACCATGGTTCAAATCCCAGCCCCAGAGACTTAAACAAAAAATGTGAGGTGCATGTGCATGTGCACGTGTGCTCCAAATCTTGACACGATAGAGAAATGGAGGAGAGGGGGTTGGGGCATGATGATGCTCCACTGTTGGGTCCTTTCTCTCTCTCTGGTGAGCACACATGCCCTTTAGCAACTTAAAAACTGTTTAGAAAAAGAAAGAGAAAAATGAAACAAAAAAAAAAGAGTAATAAGAAAAGAACAGTAAAGATTAGAAGTGGTAGTAACAATGGCAAGGAATAGGAAAGAGGAACAATTTCCTGAAGGTATAACTGTTGACAGTCTCAGTACTTGAGCTGACTTGCTCCACCTCTATCCAGCATCAGCAATAACAAGATGTGGTGTGGAAAAAGGCAGAGAGGAGGAGGGAAAGGGAAATCTGTAACTAAAACAGCAAAACAGTTCATGAAATAGACATTTGACAAAGAAAATAAAAATTAATCCATATGAAAGCAAAAGCCTCTTAAAATTTTAACTTTTAGCACATACCAGTCATTAAAAACCATTGCACTTTAGTAATGCTTGCTTATAAACATTCTGCATGTAAGAAGTACTGTAATATTCTTAACTCTGAATTCAGTTGTATATAAATTTAAGATTAGATTGAATTAAACTTCTTCTGCAACACATAAACAACTCCAAATCTTAGAGCAAAGCAATGTCCTAATGAGGAAGTACAATAAATATCTAAGAAAACTAATAAGAGGGTAAAGTATGATCTTACTATACATAATCTATTATATGTAAATTATACCCAAAGAATAATAATTGAAAAGAATAAAAAAAATTAATCTGAGACAAAAGAGAGCAGGCAAGGGTACAGTGAGGGCATGACTAGAAAGCGATATGAAAACATTTTGGAGTGTAAATTACATTTGTCTAGGGTCAGCAGGTGGCATGGAAGTTAAAGCACCTAGATCCTACATGGCTGATTCCACAGTTCAAGTTCTAGACTGGGCAGCTTGAAAATCATGCCTGCTGCATGCGTGTATGAACAAAATTCCAAGAAGAGAAAGGAGGAGAAGGGAGTGCAGTGTGGCCATCCCCCTCTCCCTCCCAAGGGGGATGATTTATCTTATCACCTCTCTCTCTGCCTCTGTCTCTTTCTGGCGAGCGCATAAACCTTATAGAAAAATAATAAATAAATAAATAACCCCCCAAAACTGTACAATTAATAAGTACATTTTAAGACTACTAAATGTGGAGCGGGACCAGCAGTTAGCGTAATGGCTATGTTGCTAAACTCCCACGTAGTCGACCGCGCAGTTCGAGTCCCGGACCCGATGGCTTAAACTCACACAGGGCGCATATGCGTGCGTGCCCAAGATCCCGAGAGGAGAATGGAGGAGAAGGGATTGTGGCGTGGCCATCCCCCCCCCCTCGTGGGGGGGTTGATTTCTTGCTTTCTGTCGCTCTGTCTCTCTCTGTCTTTCTGGAGAGCGCATGTGCCCTATAGCAAAAACCTCTCAAAAAAAAAAAAAAATGTGGGGCCAGCAACATGGTGGCTAAAGCTTTCACACGGCTGACTGTGGTTCAAGCCCTAGACCTGTTACCTTGAAAAT